TTCCAATCATATGGACAGATCTACCAGGTGATAAGTACTCAATAGAGCAATAAAAATCAGAAGCACCAACTTGGGCGCAGAGGGTCAATATTAGAATAAGGTACTGTACGTTTCTACAGGGGTTCTACTCAGGCCCTACAACAGTCCCGGTCGGTCAGGGTGGTAGGACAAACGCCAGGGAAAATCAGCAATTTTGATTAGATACTTATTGTTGTACTTATACTTATGATTGATATGATAGAATAGTGCGTGTTTTGAGCTATAGACAAAGACAAAACTAATGAAAAGAAGTCATGATTATGCAATGATTATGTATATTTGGCCGGACCAATAAAAATAGCTTCCGACGCCCCTGGAATATAATAGCTTAACTAGGCCTATATAAGGCCTAACAACCGGAATCTGATTTAATTACAACTTAGCTAATATGAGGCCTAACAATTGGAATCTAATATACATCTTAACTACCGTACATAATGCCAGGCCTAATAATCTTAGCTTAATTATAGTAGATCTTAACTACGGCCTAACAATCGACACTAATATACATCTTAACTACATATAAGGCTTTACAATCAGAATCTAAATGTCATCTTAACTAAGGCATTATAATCTGAATCTAAATGTACATCTTAACATATAAGGCTTTACGATCGGAATCTAGTATACATGACTTAACTACATAATTATCCCTGACAATCGGAATCGGTTTACAACTTATATACCTGTGCAACATGAGGTAAAATGTTGTTGAACACAACATCTCTTTCGTCCCGTACTTCTCTCTCCACATAAACTCATCTAAATACTCGGAAAGCCATTCTTTCTTACAACCTCTAATTTTCTTGAACTTAAGCTTAGCCGGTCCTTCAACAAGAATACTGGTGTCTGGGACTGTCAGTAGCTGCCGGGAACAGATGTTCCTTAACAAATGATAGTGCTGAATAACCTTCTTCTTATTCTGTTGAGTCCGTTCTACAACCTAAAAAAGGCAGGAACAGTTGGCTTATATTTTGATGGTAAATAATAATAAATTATAGAATAGTAAAATGTGTTTGTAATACTCACATCGGTGATTGGAGACTCCATAGCCCACTCATATATACTATTGCAAGCCACATGTCTATAGAAATCTTGACCCTCTCCAGGAATGCCCCAGTTCTTATGCTAACAGTGCATTTGCACTTGGTGCACCTCCAGGCTACAGTGTCGATGCCTATAAAGAAAAAAAACAACAAAAAAATACACATCAATATAATGAATGAATGGAATACATTGATGAATGTATGGTAAACAAACTATTATGATCAAGAAAATTATAGCTGATAAGCTAAATGTTATAAAACTGTGTGAAATAATATAATGCAAAAGTAATGAAATTGCTTACATGCTCGAGGTGAAATATTCATTTCTCTGTCACACTTTTCGCATTTCCTCTCAGAGTGAAGAATGCCTAAGCCCTGTAACCAAGATATGTATGACATAATTCCATCAAAATGGTAGCGCATACCAATAATCGGCAACATGGTGATTTGAAGATACATTCAATTGATGATATTGCAGCAACGATATTTTCCGAAGAAATGATAATTTTAGGTGGAATTACCTGTCCTTATATGTGGAATAATGTTGCCAAAACAATGCGGCATTACGTTAGTTTTGTCAAACAATGCGGCATAAATTGTGATATGCCAAATAATAGGGCATTAACATCGGTATGTGTCAAAGCATTGTTTGTTTGCATCGCAGCATAGCGAACACGCAGTACTGTATTGCCTTTTTTTCTATATTTACGCGCGCAACGCCCGCATCAACACCCCCCCCCCCATATTGTATTCATTTCAATTGAAATTTGTGATTATTTTACCAAACAACAATGAAAGCTCTAAGCTGTATGACCC